TGTGTGTATTATTTAGTATGTGTTCAAATATTACATGAATATGCTAATAGAAATTATTGCCTATAGGATTAAATTTCTGCCAAGTCATACAGGGTAATGAAGGACAGACTCCATAGACTGACTCTGGCTCTAATCTGCCTTTCCCTGTTAATAGCAGCATGACCTGGGGGAAGTTACTGAAGTGTTTTGTGCCTCAATATTCACACCTGCAGAAGGGAAATGATAAAAGAATCTTATGGGGTTATTGTGAGGAGTTAGTGATATAAATATTATTGTGCATTTACAGATATAAAGCATTTAGCAGAGTTCTATAATATGGCATGCTGTGTGTTTTTTGACATTTATCACCCTGGGGCCAGATACACAACCTCTCTTCAGTCTCGGTTTACTTATTTGAAACATGAGATAATAGAATTATGGTGAAATATGTGTCATAAATGGCAATGCAATGTATAGTAGATCCAGTAGACGAAACATAAAAAGGGCTGGGCGTGTAACTCAGTGATAATGTCCCCCTCCCTACCTAATTTCAATCCCAGTACCAAAGGGGGGCGGGGGAAGGAAGAGTAGTTAGACATGATGTACTAGATTTTTCATAACATCCTTGTTGGGATTCTGGAATCCTGTTACAATGTCCTTAATGTTTTAAGAAATAACATTTTATGATTGTAATAAAAATTTTGAAAATGTGGGAAAATCTGTAATTCTGTACATTCAGAAATAAGCACCCTTGTCAGTGTAACGTGTGACTTCTAGCATTTGTTCTTTAACAAATGAAACTGAAACCGTGTGATTAAATAAGGGGATAAAAGAGGGGAACAGCAGTGTGCACACACTCAAGAGGGAGGTGATTATTGTCCCTTGCCCAGGCGCCAGTGGCAGCTAACTCCCCTGGACTCACTCTGCTCTCTTGCCCTCTGCTGTGTCTTGGGGGTAACCAGACACCAGCTGCTGCCAGCAGAGGAGTCAGGAGCCTGAGAACACCTTTTTCAAGAGTTCTCTTTTCTCTCACTTCCTGGTAGGGAATAAGACCATTTTGGATCTGCTTCATGGAAACAAAAGTTCTGTCTTTGTTTCATTTTGTTTTTAAGACAAATGTGTACTTAATTTTGATGGATCTCAATAACCACCAGTTGGATTCCCAGAAGCTTTTGGAAGCAGTCATTTTAAGGCAGGTTATCCTTATCTCATTTTAGTCTTCCTTTGTCCAACCACAAAGTCAGAGCCCAAGCTGCTTCTCTGTCTTTCTGCATATGGTGTAGCATTTGTCAATATTAAATTTAATTTGGGCTAAGAGCAGTTCACTAACAGTGAAAACACAAAGCTTGCTGAACTTTACTTCGCCTGTGTGTTCAGTACAGCCAACGTTAGCAAACTTAGTAAATTCAGCAACATTATTCTACCCAAATCTAGGTCAGCTCTGTTGATTAAATATGTTACAGGTTTGGGAACTGACCCTATAAAAACCCACATAAGAGTTAACTATATCATTACCTATTGCACCTCTTACTTTTTAAATAGAAGGATATATTTGTACGCAAACACCAATCCAATGGGTCAACATTAAAGAGGTCATCATCATCAACAACAGACATTTATTGAGCGCCTATTGTGTGCAAGGCACTGTACTAGGTATGGGGCTACAAAGACATAGGAAAAACAGTCCCTGCCCTCAAGGAGCTTACAGTCTAATCTAACAGGACACATACATATAAAGACAAAGGACAATCCAAGGTAGCATATAATAAATATTAGGGCACCAAGTAGAAACAAACAGGATTTCAGCCTTTTTTTTGCATTTGCATTTCAATACCCTGAGTAGGTGGGGGTGAGTGAGCTAGAATAGAGGGGTTACTCCTGTTCAGTTTTAAGCCTCATAGCCACTCTCTCACCTTCTTCCATTCCAAAGCATCTTCTGGTACATGCTAAAACCTAAGCAATCTGTACACTACTCCTGTCCACCCCCCCAGCCTTATTACGATGGTCCCCTTGAGGAGGCTTCTGAGTGGGAGACCCACTGCCCCAGTTTGTGCAGGACTGCCCTGGTTTTAGAACTGAAAGCCTGCCTTTTGGAACTCTCTTCCCTCCCCTCCTCCCTACCCTGGGCCAAACCAGAGGCTCCTCCCACATACTGTGGTCAATGCTCTAGTAGGACCTACCCCAAGTCTGTCTCCTAGACGGGGTTCTAGCTTAAAAACATATAAGGAAGACCTTAACAGCCCCAAGACTGCTGGTTTAAGAGCACAAGGAACACAGAAGAAAACCAGGAGACAATTATTGCGGACAGAGAGTGAGGCTCAAGAGAAGCCGTGAGCATGAAAGCAGTGATTTGGGTCAGGTATGTAACACGCAGACAGAAGAAGAAGACCGGCCTTCTCTCAGTAGGTCTATTTACAACTCGAATCACTCTAGTAGAATCCAGAGTATATTTGTGAAACAAGATTGCTCTTACACAAGGGCAAATATTTGGGCAGCTACTAAATATGTACATAGGCATTTAAAGAGCACTCTCTTAATTTCAACTTTTTGCTTCCACTTTGACCTCGCATTCATTGAGCTTCCAAATCAATAATTTTTGATTTTTGAAGGAATGTTTATGTCACAATAAGATTGTTTCCCTCCACTCTTATGTAATTCAAATGGATCTGTAATTCAGAGGACTTGCAGAAGACAAAGGTAATCAGTGTTGAGAGGTGGTGTTTGGAATCTGCTACAAAAATGTGTTAGTAACCCAAGGATTCCAAGAAGCCTCCCTAATTTCTGTATTAGGTATAGTACTTTGTGTTTTGCTTTCAGCCAGTTTTTGGAAGAAAGGGTTGAACTTTGGAACCATAGGACCTTGGAGTTCCTGAATTGCTCCCATTTTCTACCCTCCGGAGTACATACCAGGGCTATCAAAGCACAGGGTCTGAGTCGCCAAACACCCATTAACGGTAATGGAAATCACACAGCTAAGTCCCCACGCGGCACACTGAATATTTACCTCCTAATGTTCTTTTAATGTACACTTTCGTGGGTGAATATTTACTGTAGAATATTAAATGTGAGATTCCTCTTTTTATGGGCCATTTGAAGTGATTGATTTTGTTTGTGAATTCCTGTTTCTTTGCCCATAATGGCTATCTATTGTAATGGCCTCTGCCAAATGTTCTTGCATTGAAATAACAGAAGCCATGGATCGGCCAGCTGTGGCATTGTATTACTGTGGTCTTAAAAGCTAGGAGGAGGCTGATGACACAGCTGGGGAGGGAAGAGAAAGGTATGTAGCATAACAAGTATGACTTAGGCTTCAAACAACTGAAACCACTGAGGTCTGTAAACGTGATTCTGTAGACATCTTTTATATCGGAGTTTATGTTTAATGGTGTTGAATGGTGTTAAGTCTGACAATTGTGAAATGATAGTGGCAAGACAAGAGTTCAATTGCCCACAACCGGGTCCATCAGCACAATCCATCAGAATTCTAGGCATTTTCTTTAATGCTGCAATAAAACCACTATCCAAGTGATAATTTCTTATACCTATTTATACCGTATTCTAAACAAAGCATGAATTCATGTGTTCTAGCTACATGTAGATTTAAAACATTTCCCAGTGAAAATAGGACTTTTCAGAATGTAGTTGCTTTTCATTTTCTTTTTTTTTTTTTTGAGTATGTGAAAGGGAGAAATTACAAAAGAGATGAAACAAACTTGATTTTTTAAAAACGAAAAACCTAAAACCCACAGGTACACAGACGTGTGAGGTATTATTAGATCAGGTAATATAGTTTCAGCCTTGCAATGATGCTTTTCCAAATTTCCATAAATATAGGAGTTGTTAAAGGAGCTGCTTACATATGAGCAACACAATCTCTTCAAGTGATTGTAAATGCTGGCCATAAATCAATTGTGTAAAATCATACACTTTTTTTATATATTCATAAAAACATTGTGTGTTCAGAGTCTGTGCTGCAGAAGAGATTGGGTTCAAATAAAATTCATAGTCCCTTTAAAAACTATGGGAAATTTTAAAGAATGAATTCAGTATGCTTTGGACAGCTATTTCAATTTTTTACTTGCTTTTGATAGCTCAAGTCACACCACAGTAATACTAACTTGTTTTTGCTGTGTGAACATTTGGACTGTGTTTGCATTTCAACAACAGTGCTCCACATAATTAATAGTATTAGCTATTGGAAGCAAATGAAGTCTTATTACTAATTAAAAGAAGGAAAAGAAGTGGTTATGTGAGAGAACTGCCTTAATCACAAGCCAGGTCTTATGGGTAAAATGGTGTCTGTCTCCATACACAGTTCTTGCTGGTGCCTTCAAATTTGGCATTAGATAAACTAATGCCTCCTATGCCATTTATAAAGAAAACATTAGTATGCTAAAAACTAGTTTTTAAACAATATTACTTCTTTAAATGAAAATTTATTTATACTAATTGATCTTGGCTTGGAATGAAATGAGTCCTTCATGTTCCTTCAGACCAAGGAATAAACACAGTAAATCTAAGAAGATGTGCAGTGAGAGGGTCCAGATGGTTCACAGGCTAATGCGTTGATGGGAGGGTGTCTCCTGTAATGATCCTCTCCTCACAGGAGGACTTATCCTTGCACTTGTAGCCAGGGAATATCTCAGAAGCGTGTATGTGTGTGTTTGTGTGTGTGTTTGTGTGTGTGTGTGTGTGTGTGTTGCTTCCAGAGAAGCAGGGGGTCGATTTTAGCCAATGAAGACCCAGGAAGGAATATGTTTTCAACTACAGAGGGAGATAAGTCATACAGGAATATAAAACACTCCCCAAAATAAGGTTCCTGATACAATGGGAGCCCCGTCATTCCAAGTGTAAAGTCTTCCAATACATCAATGAGAAGCTTGTAGAGTTTTAGATTTGGAATAAAAACCTAAGAATTCTTCTGGCACAGTGACATCATTCTGAAGAAAAAGAAATGAGGGCTTAAGAGAAACTACTTATATCAACTGTTACTGAAGAAAACTGTCTTTAAGTTTCTCTAGTTAGCATCTTTTTGTTTTAATAACACAACTTTTGGTTATCGAATTTGTCCTTTTGGAACATTCTGTACATTACAAAATCTTATAGTTGTTCTTGCTATGAAAGAACAATTTTTTTTTCTGCCTAGGAGTTCCAAAAATGCGACACAACATTTCCAAGTCGAATACCAATCGCATGCTAACAATGGGCTTTGTGAACACAGTAACTCATCAACCCTATTCTAGGCCATTTCCAACCATCATTCAGGATTAAAGAGTTATGAAGAATAAATTACCACATAATTATAATCTATAAAAATACTGGCCTAGAGTACACTAAAAAACTCTCAATAAATAAATATTGGACATTTGCTTTATGAAAGTCCAGTGGAGATGTGCTCTTCAGAAATCATGTCCATACTTTCAGGCTGCTTTTTACAAATCACACAAACAAGAGTCTGACATATGACAAAGGTTATAAGTCAGGTTAGAATACAACTTGGTAGAAAAACATCTTTTGACATGGTATTTCTATAAAGGAATGCAACTAATGTTGAGTTGCTCATGTAGCAGTTTCAAAGGCAATACTTAAAGAGATCCAAAGTGGTTTTAGCCATGGTGGCATCACTGAAATGAATGCTCAGTTCCTAAGGGTGACCTCTTTCAAAGGGACAGCATTCATTCGGGTGTATTAATTCGGCAATATGTTCTTACAAACCAGCCACATTGTCTTGTGGTCATGCCTACTGGGCATCTGTCCATGGTATTGAGTTGAAGCTACCAATTCTGTTCCCTTTTCCTGGCTGGTGGCTCAAGAAGTTCAGTGCCCCGTGTCTAACACAGTGGGTACCTGGCCTTATGGTCTGGCATGCTCATTCCTCACAACATAGGTTTATTCTCAGGATGATTTATAGCAGGTGATTCTGGTTTCCAGTCTGGTTGAAAAAAGTGAATGTTGAATGTCCGTGCCCAGTTCTTAAACACTCGTTTCTCTGTGATAAAGCGGTGATGACTGCCCTTTCGTCCTCGCTCATGGGAAAGGTACATTGTACATTCATCAGGTCCAAAGGGCTCATAATAATGATAAGGTACTGAAGGATGATTGGGATCCCTGTAGGAGGAAAATGAGATAATTGATTAGAGCTGAAAAAAATTTTTTTTGACTGATTCAGGCAAGATGTTATCTTTAGTAAGCTGATAAGCACAGATCATGTTTTCTAGTCAAGTAAATTTTAGTAAATGGGTTTTCTGATGTTTAAGCAATAAGCAAGTGGAGAGGTTTCAGGTTGTAAAATAAATGCATTGGCCATCATTGTCAAACAAAGAGATTAAAAATGTGTGGCAGGGGCTGAGTATATAGCTCAGTTGGTAGAGTGCTTGCTTCATATGCACAAGGCCCTGGGTTCAATCCCCAGCACCACCCCCCCCAAAATAAATAAATAAATAAATAAAAAGAAAGAAAGAAAGAAAAGTGTGGCCAGATGTTCATGTTCAACTTCTGGGATGTAGGTATGACATATTCATAGTCATAATTACAGTTCTTATTTCCATTCTTGGCCCCATATAGTTGATTTAGTACAATTAGCCATTGAGACATTTATGAAACAAAAACAGACCCTTCCCTATACCAACTGTAACATCCCAAACCCTTCAGGTGCTTCTGGCTCTAGTGAGACTGTGGCCTATAGGATATTACATGATCTGGCTCTTCTCTGGAGGCTTCTCCTAACCCAACCAGCCTTGCCCTTTCTGTTCCAGCCACACTAGATTTTTCTGATTGTTAACTTCATCAAGCTTGCCCTCACTCAGGGCCTTTGCACTTGAGAATGGGTCACCTGCCTGGAACACTGTCCCCCATAAGTTCACTCCTTCTCACCATTGGGTATCGATTCAAGTATATCCTCTTTGGAGGCCTCATCTGACCCCTCCTCCCTTCACTCCATATCACTTTTATTTCCCTTATAGTGTTAATCTCTCTTTGAAATTGCTGTTGTCATTTACTTGTCAATTGTCAGCTCATTAGGAAAGGGATTTGTCTCATTCCTGGAACAGTGCCTTCTAGGGATGCAATGAATAATTTTTGAATTCTGTTGTTGAAGGAACAGTTAGCAGCTGAACATCAAGCCTCTCTTAAGAAAGTTCTTCCTTCAAGTATGAAGCTGATGATCCTAAATTTATCCTGTTGGGAGAGAAAGGAAGAGAGAAAGCAAGATGCCACTCTCTTTCTCTTGCTGCTCTCAATATCCCGTGTACTCAAGGATCAGGGTTTCTTGGTCTGGAAATTCCAAGTCCTTAATCCTGGATGGGTAGCTTGACAGGTTAGCATGTTTTTGCATCTATTTCCCTGATCAGACTCAAAAAAGAAACACTGGCTTATTTCAAGGTGGTATGTGCAGGATGAATGTGTAGGGATGGTTTGTGTCTCATTGTAGGGTTGCTAAAGAGCCCCGTTTGCAGATTAGAGTTCATTCTATAACAGTCCTCCCTACCTCCTCTGTCTTTTAAATAGTAGATGATAAAATTAGTCAAAGTTTCATAGCAGATAAACTTTTCTACTTTGAGCTACACTTACCAATAGGCCTTGGTGCACAGACTAAGAGGAGAAAAGGCCCACATTCCCCGCTTCTGAATGCCAGTGGTCTTTCAGAGCCCGATGCATTGGGGTCCCCCTCTAATCACTGGGCTCTGCGCTAAGTATAGGAGCGTGGTTTCCCAAAGATGCTCATCCTGCTAGCCACCTATTTGTTTTGTTCAGAGGAGATCAATACACAAATGGCTTTTGGAGTAGCAACTTTACTGGGGTCAGAGATCGAAGTCTTTTATCAAGAGAGGTGTCGAGTTTGTGGCTCTGACAACAATAAACCTTTGAGCAGCTTCTCCTCTTAGGTTAAAGTTCTTCCAGGAAGACAGATTTATTTTTGTCATGTAGCATCTAAACACTGCTCATCCTGGCTTGGATGCTGTGTTGAATTAACACATTGCCTCTCTAGAATGCCTGAATTGGGAGTATAGTGAAACTCTGGATCCTTTCTTGTCTTATTATGGATTTCACAGATTTATTTCCCCTAGAAATTGGAATTACCTTAAAATTTAATAGAAGGTATTTTCAATATAGAAAATGCATGCCAGGGAAAATTCAGACTGGAATTAACCACATGAAGAAAAATTGAACAAAAAGGAGCAGAAACTCATGAGTTAACCCTCCACAGGCTCACATGGCATAATTTCGGAAACTGTGCCCAAGTCATAGCCCCACAGTATACTTGGGGTTAAGTTTTTTTCCATCTCAAATCAGGTTTTAAATCTGATTCATCTATATTTTGGACATTTTATTGGCATCAATCTGACTAAAGAAACAATTAGGTTTCTAAAAATATCACAAGATTGATTCAGCACCTAGGAATAGAAGGTAATTGGAAACCAGCTAAAGGATGCTATGTGATCAATTTCCTTATTCAGGAAGACCATCTCTTTGAATGAAAACTTATCTGGCTCCATATTGATCACTTAAAGGGTGAATTAAATGTATGTATTTGGGAATCAAGATTTCAGAGGTGTCCAAATGAGCCATTCATGTAAATGAGAGCTGTTTCCACACTTGAATACTCTGTCCAACTAGCAGCAAAGTGCTTTGCGGGATTTGGGAAGGCAGATCTGCAGGAGGCAAGAAGAAGATCTCCCTCCTTTTGGTTTAGAAAGCCCTTCCTAGGTTCGGGTCATAATTCCTGAGATCTCTTCTCAAACCTGACTTTCTAAAGGCTGCCATAACTTTTAATTCCTTCACCAATTCCAGAGAAAACAGTCATGCACATGGGCATAACTTCCAGGTTCAGGGACTATTGTAAAAGGAAGGATTCTAGTGCCCCAGTTCCTGTTTGGGGACCAGTGAAGCTGAATGAGTTGAGGTGGAGTAGTGGACTGTTGCATGGGGAGATGGTCACAGAGCCAGTTCTCTGAGTGGCTCACTCTTAACAGCCAATGTGGACACAAGTCTTGCACAATGCAAAGAATTTTTTTTTTTTCTTTTTAAGAAGGAGCACGTGGGGAGAGTGAAGGAACAAACATTTAGTTTACCTGGGGAGCTTCAAAGACATGCTCTTACCAGTGTACCACTCCCATAGCTCTTGGGTTAAAAGATTTGGAGAGGTCCCAGACACAGATATTTTTGAAGTGCTTTAGGTTTGAGCATCAAAATAAATAATGGCAGTGTTGGATAATAAAGTCCATAAAATGAATTAAATATCCATGAGTTCATGATGATTATAATAAATAGCTGACTAAATAAATAAATGGGAGAAGCAATAGTGTTTCACTACAAAGGAATTACAAATAGTAAATGCAGAAAGATTGAGGGAATAGAAAATTACCCTAGAACAGCGTAATAATTATTATGGGCAAGATGCACCAATGAATGGAACATTAGTGGGGAAAAGGAAAATAAAAAGGTTATTTGCAAAGTCTTAAAGCTTTTCCCCAAGTTATATATTAATGACCAAAGGGAAAATTGTAACTTTACAATGGGTAAGCCCAGCAGACATCACCTTAACCCAATGATCAAGGTTAACATGGCTGGTAATAAGGTAATAAGATACTGCCATCATGTACCTCCTCATGGGAGAGGCTGTGAAGGGCTTAGCACATCAGTGGTATCCTTCCCAGGAATGCATAACCACAATCTTATCATGGGGAAATATCAGAAAAACCTACAGTGGGGGACATTTTACAAAACACTTGACCAGGACTTTTCAAGGGTGTCAAGGTCATGAAAGAAAAATATTTGAGAATGAAGAAACAAGATAAGTAAATGCAAGGGAATCTTTGACTAGATCTTGGAGGAGATAAAGGATATTATCAGAGAAACTGGTAAGATCTCAATAAAGCCTGCAGTTTAATTAAGCATTGTACTATTAATTTCTTAGTTTTGAAAACTGGACCTTAATTAGGAAAACTTTCAGCATTAGGGGAAGCTGGATAAAGGGTACCTGGACTCAAATTTTCTCTAATTCTAAAATTATTTAAAACAAATGTTACTATATAAATAACACACATCTGAATGCGTGCTTATATATACATATATAAATATATATTATTTAAAAAGAAGCTCCTTAGGAGGTTCTAATGTTAAAAAGCTCCTTAGGAGTTTCTAATATGCAAACAGGCTTGAGAAGACTGAAGTTACCTGCTAAAGTTTCAGTTTTTAACTAATGTGACGCCCTTTCCATTTGAGCATGTGGCACCCAGGGAGAGATTCCTTTGTCTGGCTTCAGGCACACAGTCTCACTCATGGACCATCCAAGCTGCAGTACTTGAGCATTTCAGCCCAGACCACAGTGCTTTAGCACTCTACAAGAATTAACTTTAACACTCACAATACTCCCTGAAAGAGATATACTGTTATTACTCATATTTTACAGATGAGAAAATACATGCCCATAAAAACCAAAGACATTTCAGAGCTGGTTGACCATTGACTCTTTATACTCAGAGTGAAGTTCTATGTCTTAGAGAAGCTCCTGTCCCCAGGTAGGATAGCTGAAATAAAGTTACTTGGTTTCTGCTGGGATCATCAGCACATGACTGGGAGCTAGCTTGTCTAGGCTATATTATTCCAGGCCCCCTGCTACAGAGGTGCCCCATGTGTGATGCTTACTCTGTGCCGCTGGTCATGATGGTAAGTAGATGCCTGAGGCTTGTTTATAATTCTGCTCACAACTGTGAATGGCAGCATGCGTCTACAATGCCCCATTTTTTAAATCTTCCAAAGCAAGTTGTACAATTGGGAGGAAACCTCACAATATTAACAAGCAAGAGAGGATACTTCAATTTTGGGGTATAGATGAGGTTCAGCATATGCTACCCCAAAATATTTGAAGAAGCAACAGAAGAAGGTCACTCCCACTTTCCCCTCACCCCTCTTCCATGAAGTAGATCTTAAAGGAATTCTTGACCTTCCTCTAAAGTGGATCATAAAGCTTTTATCCAGAAATACACACACACACACACACACACACACACACACACACACACACACTCACTCAGAGGAAAGGAACAGCCTCATCCTCAAAGACCCAGAGATGCAAAGAGGAGTCTGAGTTAAGATCTGGTAACTCC